TATATATATATATATATATATAAGCATGCATTGGAGCTTGTTCGTTGTATTTTTTGTCTGATAATATTTGGTATGCATCACAGTTTGTTCGTAACTTTTACTTTTGGAGTGTTATAGAATCTGGCACTTCTTACTTCTTAGTTCATCTTGGGATGTTTTCTGAAGAAGAGAATGCTCCAATAGATTAATTACCTATTTTCATATATAGTTTTTGTCGGTACGTGCAATATGTTTCTCGTAGAAAACTGCATTTCTGCAAGTTCATTCAGTCGGTTTAATGAAATCTCAAGGTTCTCTTAAAACTCCACTAGCTTATGAGGCTTGAGATGAACTTTGAAATGATTTTATACTACTGCTCGGAAGAGACATGTCTCTAATGCATATCTTGGATGCATCAGAAACTATCTTTTGGCTATTAAAAGTTACTTAACAACTGCTCTTCCACTCTTAATCTGTATGGTAACCTCAAATGAAATGTGAACTCCAGTTTTGTGAAATGAACAAGTGCGAGCTACGCTTTATAGTTACTACCTGTTTGTGTGTTTCATGGTGGGATGTCATATTGACATATAGACACTTTTGCTATTAAATGGACAGCTTTGTTTTGACCTCAGACGTGGATAAATAAGTATTTTGTCTCTAGACATACCAATGAACCTGGTAGTTGATCCGCTGCCAAAAGTAGTCTCTATTTTCAATTCTCATATTTTTGCAGTTGAACTAATGTAACCTATACTTCACAGTTCATGGTGTAGAATACGCATTTGGAGCTCATGACTACCCGACCAGCGGTGTCTTTGAAGTTGAACCGCGGCAATGTCCAGGATTTAAGTTTAGGAAGTCGATATTTATTGGAACCACAAAGTTGGATCCGCCTCAGGTTAGAGAGTTTATTGAACATCAAGCTGCTGCCTATAATGGTGACTCGTATCACTTGATTGTGAAGAACTGCAATCATTTTTGCAAGGATATATGCTACAAGCTCACTGGGAAAAAGATCCCGAAATGGGTGAACCGACTTGCAAAATTAGGTATCGCTCTACCATTCCACCTCTCTTTACTTGATCTGGCTTTTATACTTGATCTGTAGAGAACTGAATTCCTACCTTTATTTCCTGCCGCGCACACAACTAAAATCTATTCTCCCTCCTCCATCTTGGCACTCAATCTTTAAATGCAATATCATTTACATACTAAAGGGTCGTTTGGTACAGGGATAAGGTAAGATTAAGTCTGAAATTAAATTTATACTGTTTTTTGGTTGGCGGTATAAATTTATCCTAATCTCAGACTTAATCTTGGATATCCCACCTTATCTCATCAAACTTGGGATTATTTTATCCCACCTCTCAAATGGGATAAATTAGTCCAGGATAATTTAGTCCGCGTACCAAACGACCCCTAAAGCTGCCACTTGGCATCAGTTCAGTTATAGTACACCGAAACTTGGGCCCATTATCTACCGAGTTTTGAACTGTGGACAAATCTTGGGATTTCTCGATACAGGAGAAAAAGAAGTACCTCCAATTTCCATTTTAATGATATCAGTATTCATTTTCTTTTCTTTTTGGTCTATAAAGGTTCAGCATTCAACTGCATGTTGCCTGAGGCTTTGAAAATTGCTGCTGTCGAAGACGAACCTAATGGCCCAGAATACGTTAGTGAAAAGAGAAGGTTGAGAAGTACTTTCAGTTGTCTTTCTTCAATTTCAACAAGACAGCAGAAGTTATCTAAGTCTTCGATGTTTTTACAGTCACCCCTTAAAGGATGCTTACCTTCTTGGGAGTTAAGAAAGTCTACCAATCGCTCAGTAAAAGAAAGGTAAACATTTATGGACCCTTTTGTGATCACATTTCCCTTGGAATATCCTGAAGAAGAAAATTTGTGAAGGCTAGCTACTCCATGTATTTCATGAAAACAAAGAAATGATTGAGATTAGCTTGCTTTAAGAAGTTGTACTATTTGTAATGTGGCATTGCAGTGTGCAATATGCCTTGTTTGATCCCTTATCTTTTAGGGTAATTTCTGTCTCGTTCATCGATTGATCACGTGAGTATGTCAGAAAAAACACGTACATCCTGCATTTGAGAAAAAAGTCTGTCAATTGATCTCTATTCATTCGGTCAAGGTTTCCACTTTTCACGTCGTTCTACAAAGAGATGCACCATGTTGAGAAATCACCAATCCCTTGGAGCAGTATATTTGCCACCTTAAGTCTGGTGATATGCCGGGATGCTATACTGCATATGACCAGTGCTCTTTTACAGTTTAGGCTTTACTTTTTACTGCAGAATGTTGCAGTTGTACTACCATTTCTACTGTAAGTTATCTTAATTTTGTCTTCGTAAAGAATTAAATACTAGAAGGTAATGTGAGTTCAAAAGATCAGGACAGTGCTCATATAAAATATTTTGCGTTATTTTTATAAATATTAATCTGAAAAGGAAAACAAAAGTTCAAGCATTTAGCGTTGCCTATATTAACAGAAGAAAAATATGTTTTAAGTTAGCAACCATACAGGAAAAGCAAGCTAATATGTGGAGAGGGACCACTTTAGCTTGCTGCATATACAAATGGATATTAAATACAGAATATGTTCCTTTTAATAGAAGCCGCTTCTTTTGGTTTTCATTTATTGCAATGTGAACCAAATCTAAATAGTCGATAAACTCTGGTGATCAACACTACATAAAAGCCATATTAAGCTACACCTTGGCTCTAGATTATGTTAAAAAGGATTGGCGCATAAAATTATATATAGGTTCACATAGATTAACGACATGTTTGGTGCTTTTTCTGAAGTTACTTTCTCATACTAGAATGCTTTCTCATTCTCTTCAATCATACAATCCAAATGAACTGAGTCTGTTACTTTTGCCCTCCACCACAGACGTGCCGTCATAGTTTCAGAGAGCCAAATTAGTCTAAAACTAGGGAGAAAAATTTAACAAACGGATGATGCTAAGAATTAACTTGGCTAAATTTACAAAACACAATAACATCAATTGTAACATCTCTGTCCTCTCCCCCCTAACCTCTCCTCCCAATGACAATCTTCAATAGTGTATTAAGCATACGAAAAGGAGACGCGAAAAGAGAAATAAGCACTTCCAGATGCGGGGAATGATATTTGAGGAAGCGATGATGCCTCCAACATACCTGATTTCTGATCTTTGAATACATTAGCCAAACACAAAAACGAACAAAAACATTTAGCGCTCCTGATAGCCAAGAAACAGTTGTCTAGCTCAGAAGCAATCGTCAAGGAAAATTAGTGGAACTATATTCACATACCCGAAGACAAGGGAAGAGACTAAACTAATCTTGTGAATTACACTTAACCCAGCCAGCAGCGCTAGCTGCTAAGCTGAATCACTCTGTTGGGTCTGTCAAAATGGAAGGTAAATGAATAGGAAACAACGATATTTGAGCATGTAACCACTGGCTGTGGCCAAACAATGATGTCCATAGGTCCATTTTCATTGATATAGACACAAAGAATGCTTCATCTGGAAGGTTATCTTCATATAACTTTTGCAAATAATAGAATCACAGAATGAATATACAGATGGCGAACCCGAATTACTGTTGACAAAACAAACCTGCACGAACACCAAAGAGATGCTTCAGATAAACAAATGTCCAAGATGCTCGGTAAAACATTGCCTAACTGTCATGTAACACATGATATACAAAACATAGAACCTCTCGAACTGGATACTTGAACAACAAATGTCCACTCAGGATATCAAAAAAAAAAGGATACTCTTTGATACATGAAGATACAGAAGTATGACAGAACACCCAAGTTTTCTTATTTTAGATAGTAGAGAGGACAACCCCACTGTGCCATTATATTCAGAAACAACACAACTAGTATCGCACTTGGACTAGATATCATTTCAGTGTCCAGGCGATGAAATGATCAATCGTCTTTCTGATGGAAAACAGTAGGCATGCTATTATTACCATTGAGAGCAGCATGATATACTCGCTTCTCTGCCAGGCCAATATCTGAGAGTATTAAATTACCCTGCAAGAACAGAGGAATGCGATCACCCATCAGTACATAAGTGCACAGAGGAATGAAATTGCCCGGCATTAAGTTCACGTGCTTACTTAACATGCCTTGGGAGATTACATGGTGAAAAGACTACTACTTTCTAGAGATAAACATCCGTTGTTTGCAGTGTAGAGATCCTGATACTAAACTCTCCACTTTCAAGGAACACAAATATAAGAGCACAGAGAAAATGGGTGACTCTCCAAATTGTGGAGGGCTCCTATTTGCTCTATGACATTTCTACAAAAGAAACAAATTCAACACAAGCTCAATATGGGTATGGGACATGGGTTGACATCTCCAGATTGTGGAGATGTTTATCCACAACCTATTTTCTACAAAACCACATCTGAAGAGCAAGAATCAATGAGTGAAATTTCATTCTTACAACAAAGTTCAATGAAGATGTGTTCCCCTAATTGTAGGGAGAAAAAGGCGTAAAACTAGCAAATCATATTCCTAACAGGACTCTAGAGTGGCTTTTATGTTCTTACTCTTTAAATATAATGATTGAACTGTCGTTAAGGAAAAATTGCATACAAACCATACCTCATGAGCCATCAACCTCCGGACATTCTCAGCATAAAGTCTAGGATCATCCTTTTCTTGCTGAGAGGGGTAGTAAACAGGTAACCAGGTTGCCTCCACATAATTGACAAATTGACAGAGAAGGAGAATCACATGCCGAACCTGCAAGAAGAATTGCATTTTCATCCAATCAGTGAGAACGGATCTTATTTAATGAACTTTTTTGCAATCAGCAATATCTTCATATATCAGAACAAATATTCAAGTATTGGATACTGAATTTTCCTTGTTGTAATGACTAACTTGGTGCCTCAAAGTTCATCTTCAAATCTATCATTTAACTATTTTGTGGTCAAGAAACCAAGTTTCCCACAAAGACTTAAAATGTTATAGATGATATCTGTATTCTGTTACACCAACTGTCAGAACAGGGAACTCAAAGTTCAGCGTTCATTGCACAAAGTCAGGAAAACAATTCGTACATGACTAAATGAAAGAAAATGATACTTGTGGAGTCCAAAAGTAGCAACATAACATGTTTTAAGAAGAACACAAAAGACAACCATGGTGTTAGGAGGGGGCATGAATATAGCCTGTAACAGAGCACAATATTATGCAACTGCATCAACCACTGAAGAGGAAGTACTACCATATCTTCTTAAAATGACAAAGCAAGTTTTAGATCACCAAATACTTACCCCAGATATCGAGTCCCACGCAGGACTTAATCTCTGGTATGGATATCTTAATATCACAGGCTGCACCGGAGCTCCTGACAGAAATGCACCAGACTTGAACGGAAGGAGAAAGTCACCATTTGTGGTTGTGCCTTCTACAAGGATAAAGAAAACAGATCAAAACTGCAGTAAACCATCAAAAGTCAATCTTTGCAAGGATATCCAAGAAATGAAATAGAGGGTGTTTGTGTTGGCTTAAAAGCTGGTCAAACTAGATTTTAAACACTTTTTTGTTTATTTTGGTGTATGGTAAACACTAAAAGTGCTTTGAAGCCAAAAGCTATAAGATGGGCACCCCCAATTAATGGCTTTTTCAACTTAAAAGCTCTTTAGGTTTGACCAACTTAAAATCAGCTCAAGCACTTAAAAAACGTTTTTCAAGGTAGAGACTTCTAAGGGTATTAAATTTTTTTTTATATTCCAAGTAATACCCAAGGTTTAGATACATTGGAAGACCAAAAATAATTACTAAGCAAATGTTTGAACTCTTTAAATAAGTCTAATAGATTCTAAGCATATTTTGTGTGAGCAGTTGGTCTGTCTGCTCAATGAACAACTTTACATCATTGAAATTAGTAGAAGAAGACCATGTCCAGAAGGAAATGAATTAAAGACATCTCAAAGTCTGGTACCAGCACTGGGAAGAATGAAGTACAAACCACTAGAAGAATCCTGGAGTACTATTTAAGGCGAAAAGGCTATCCAAAAGCAAATAAAAGTTTAGGCACGCTGATAACATTAACTAAATGCCAAAGATGTGATAACCCTCAGGAGTTGGCCTGGTGGCAATTGACTTGAGCCTTGAGGTTTGCTCCCTTTCAAGGTCTCAAGTTCGAAACTCACTGGGTGCAAACAATTTCTGAGGGTCATCGGACTGGGTAAAACCTGAATTAACCGTGGTGCACTTGCGGGAAGCTCCTTGCCGAGGGCCTGTGCACCCCCGGGATTAGTCGGGACTCGAAGAGACTCGGACACCCGGTGCAAATCAAAAAAAAAAATGCCAAAGATGTGATATCTCTCATCTATCTCTCTTTCACTACGCAAAAGAACCCATATCTACTATCACTCATCTATGATCTAATCAGTGTTAAATAGATAACAAGATTGGTAGAATAAATGTGCAGTAAAATGCGTGAGAGAATTCAGTGGGTTGGCACGCTAAAAGCAACATTGACCTGGAAAAAGCAGCATGATTGGTGCAGATTTGTTCTGGTGAGCTTCACGAATCCTTTCATTTACGACACCTGCAAATTTACAAGTTTAATCCTAAGGATGTCGCAAAAATTAAAGCTGCATACCATATGCAAGGAAGGAGAGGGTAAAAGACAAGGGAAAGATGGACAGGGGTGGAAAATATATGAACAAAGACTATCCTCCTGCGCTTTCCACTACAAATAAGAGAAAGCGCCATATTTTTGCCCTCTTCGGCTTACTTGCTTTTATAGACAAGACACTGTGAATATAATATCCTTACTAATTTTAGTCACCTATGGGTAGAGCCTAGCATTAAAAGTTGAATAACATTTGAAAAACAGTTCTACTACGTCTCTGCAAGAGTCATGGTGCAGAAGATTTTACCTTGAAAGGCTTCCACACATGCCAAGTCTATAAAGCCATAAATGTTTCCAAGACTCCCAAACCATTTTGTAAAAGAAATTCAGCTGTCACTTGACTTCAAGAGACTCCCTCTATCCTATTTTACCTAACATCTTTTCACTAAGCATAAAGTTTAAAATATTAATTTAACTAGTATATTATATAAGGAGTGATAAGGACCTTTTTTTGTCATTTACATAATGCAATATATTCCAGCATTGAAACGTGTATAAAATAATATAGAGATTACCACATATAATTTGCAGGTATTATGATAAACAAAAATGGTAATCAAATGTCAAATTAATGATGCAGAGTTCTAGACAAGACTACTTTCTCTTATACCTCAAAAAACTAAACAAGCCTTATAGTTGTACCAAATCTAGTGCAATATTTTTGTTACCTGAGACACCTTTAAAGTCAGGTGATTTCGATTCTCGCTGGACATAGACACAGCCAAGGCA